TAATTCTCCTTCTTCCTTTTCTGTATCATCGTCTCACTTGAGTTCGAAGTTTCAGTTAATGCTTAGAAGTGGAAAGTAGAAAATTTGCAATTAGTTGAATCGTTTGAGTACTCGTCTGCGACAAATACACAAAATGGTACATGTCTCCGTGATTTATGATAGAAAGGTGCTCTAAACACAGACTTTCTAAGAGCTAGCTATGCGAAATCGTGAAGTCTCTCGTTTGAGATAACTAGACTGAATTTCATGCATTTGGAAGAAAATCATTAAACCAGCATCACTGCATGACTGGGCGTCATGCATAAAATAAATACTGCAAAATCCAAACAATAAAACAATAAAAATCTCTACTCAAAATGATGTGTATGAGTGTGTGTGTAAATGTGTGAACAATGAAAGAATAAATGAAACTGGACGACTGAAGTTAATCTCTTCTTTAAATAAAACAAGAGTAATCTTGATTTTTCCCAAAAGAAGAGAATCTTTCATTTCAGTAAATAAAAATGGATCCCAAATACGAAGTAATTCCTCTTCCTTTCCATAATTGGAGAAAAAACTGTTTAATACTAAAAGGAGTGAAACTGTTTCTTACCTCTGGCAATTCTTCTGGGGTCTCTTCATCACCAGTAGCATCCTCGGATATTATTTTAGCGATGTCTTCACTTTTCGGAAGCGAGAGTTCCCTGCTGCTGTTTTTACGACTTCCTTGAATTTTATCTGTCCCGTTGCTGGCCACAGTGTCATGGTCGGTCTTAATGGACGTCGTGGTACCGTTGCTCTCTTTATGGTTGTTGTGGTCCTCTTTGGGATCATCCTCGGCGAACACGTTAATCGAGGATAGTAGAACGACCGTCTGGAATGAAGAGTGAAATCTTGGGTATAATAGTCGATCATTTGAATTATGGTTGCCCAAAAATTTAGATAGCAATGAAGCAATTATGGCTGAATTATATTTATCATCAGGGCAATTATCCTAATTGCTCTATTAGGGTATTCTTGAATTTTTATTATTTATAGAATTATTTATAGAATCATTTGCATCTGATGAATCCATTAAATTGTTTTAAACAATTGAAATTAATTTGTTAAAATTGTCTAATTAAT